TTGCCGGCTATCCATAGAAGGTAGGCGTCAATTACCTTTGACGGCTTCGTAGCATGTTCCGTTAGGCACCAAAACTACTTAAATCTTCAAATGGGTGTTAAGTTCGAAATAAGCTCCAAGCACTTATCTAGAAAAATTGTATAGCTTGAAAAAGTCAACTAAGGTCATCTAAGGTAAATGACCTTGATTTGACCTTAACGTGACCTTAAAATGCAAAGAACAAACAGCATTTCATACCTTGGAGAGTTAACAACCACAACAAGACTGAAAACGCGCCGATAATGTGCGCTGATAAGCGCCAAATCGATACCAGCCTGACATGGTCTGGTGAAACAGGTCACAGGTCAAATTTTTATTAAGGTCAAGGTCATGAAATTTTAAGTGTGTGAGTAACATTGATCGAATCGAAGGTATAGAAAGTTTCGTCGTGATCCGCCACGTTTTGCTTGAGTTAGTATGCGAAAAGTCGAAAAAGTCGAGGACAGAAGTCTGTGCGACCCCCTCCCCCTTTAAGTGCAAGGACTAACAAAGTGCAAAGGTTGAGCCCGAAATGCCTTTTGGTGATTGGGCTAGACATGATCAAATATCTACTTCTAAAACGATTGTAGTTTCGTTCTACTTTTTTAACGCTTCCACGCCCACGATGCATTGCTAGCCGAAAACGTTTCAGTGCTAAGTCCTTGGGGAGGGGGCGGGGGAGGGACGGGGTCAAGCAGGAGAGCCAACCATGTTGTCAGGGATCATACACCCTAAGCTTAACCATTTGAAGGTGAAATAAAATTAGTTAAGGTAGCGGAGGATGCGATATAAATAAATTCGTGCTAGGATCGATAAAAACCCCACACCGCGGTGTGGGGCCTTCAGAGCTCCGAGATACTGGTGTGGGGCCCTCGGAGGTGTCGGTGTGGGTCCTTCAGATGTACAGTCTGTCTTAAAAGTACCGCGCAAAGTGACGGTGGATCCATCGAGCCTGACTGAGCAAGGGCCTGCTAAATTTGGGTCACTGAAGCAACTGACATCCTTATCCATTCCCTAGGTCAATTGGTCGGTGACTTTTAAATTAAAACAGGCCCTTTCTCGGTCAGGCTTGATGGATCCACCGCCACTTTGCGCGGTACTTTTAAGACAGACTGTACCTATAGAGCCTTGAGATGCACAGGTGTGGTGGCCCACAGAGCCGCCGGTGTGGGGCCCCCAGAGCTACCGATATAGGATAGGGCCCTGAGAGACACTAGTATGACCCTCAAAGGCGCCGCTGTGTGGCGCTCATAAACACTGGCATGGGTGTGGAGCCATCACAGGCGGGTGGAGCCGTTAGAGGCCGGAAAGGGCCCTTAAATGCCTACAAGGAGCCTTCAGAAGCCGGCGTGGCACCCTTATGGGGATAAGCGTGCCTACTTAAGAGCCCTTGAGGTGCTCTCATGAGCTCTGTGGGGCCCTACCGAGCCGAAATATGACCACGGCCAGTTGCCGCCGCATGGGTCTTCGGACCATCATTCTCACTAGGGGCCTCATCTGCCTAGTTTGAATAGAAGGGTCTCTCAGACCATCAGTCTCATGGGCCTCCTCTGGCTAGTATAAATAGAAGGGCCTGTGAGACCATCAATCCTAGGGGCCTCCTCTGGTTAGTATAAATAGAAGAGCCTCTCAGACCATTAATATCAGGGGGCTCCTGTGGACAGTATAAATAAAAGGGCCTCTCAGACCATCAGTCTCGGGGGCCTCCCTAGAAAAGTGTAAATGTGGATAGAGGGCCCCTCAGATTCATTAGGAGTGGACCTCTCTGACTATCAGTCTCAGGGGCCTCTTGTGGCCAGTATGAATATAAGAGCCTCTCAGACCATCGGTCTCAGGGGCAGTGGCGCAGCCAGGATTTTGTTTCGGGGGGGTCATCGCCTCCAAAGCGGGCCCCCTAGTGTGCGGGCCCCCACCCATTTTTCAGAATCTCTCCATATTTCATACACATTCTGCTGAGCGGGCCCCCTTTACCTGCACGATAACCCTGAGCGAGTTTGAATAAGAAAATGTGGATAGAACAATAGCTCGGATATCACCCGGTGTTCAATCTTTACGCAAATTGACCACGACAGAAATATGTTACTATGACGTAAGAATTCGTATCTTTCGAGGCCGAAATGTGCCTCTTCCGCAATATGCATAGCATACCTAAATGCAATCGGAACTGTTGCCTGCTTCTGTCGGACAAGATACTAGTTCCATGTGCCTGTCCTAAGTCACCTATTGGCTGCTGTAGTAGATTGTGCCCTTATTCTTCTTCATTACGTGAATTCGCTCACAAGAAGTTTTAACCCTCGCCGGCACAGGGGGGATGGGGTTGATGCAACCCCTAAAGTTTTTTTTCGCGAATTACTCGCGTAAAAAGCGGCTGATCGCAACGAAACTTTTAGTACCCTCGCGTTGATCAATTTTACACCTATCCTAGAATTTTCATGACCCTGACCCAAATGAACTTTGACCTTCTTTCCGAGACCATGTTCCGAGGCCAGAATCGCGGTTCGGCGTATGCCGGCTCGCATTAGCGGCGCGTTTGCAGTCCTTTCGTGGTTTCAAGCGTTCAAACATGTGATTTGATGTTGCTCCCATGCATAAGGGTGGATGTCAATGTCACCTGAAGGTCAGATCAGGTCATTGACCTATGAGGACCTCAGTACACTTTTCAAGCTATGCATGTTTCTAGGCTAGTTTTTGTTAGCTGAATTCGAATTTAGCAGCCATTTGAACATTTAAGAAGTAGTTTTGGTGCCTTCGTAACATGTTACGAAGCTGTCAGAGGCGGTTGACACGTATGCACTACGAATACCCGTCACGATCCCTACTGGTTGACCTGACCTTACCTGACCTGACCCGACCTCGCCTAAATGTATAAAGACATCATCTGTGATCAAAACTAACATAATTTGTTCATGACTTACTTAATTACACGGGTTTTGCTGCATAACCTGGCACGGTTGACTATTGAAAATGGCATAGTTGAAAAGAGCATACAATTTTGTCCAAGATCCAATCATCGCTTTTGCATGACGAGCAACAATATTCTTAAAAATATAAATGTTTCAAACCTCTGCATAAGTAATTCATCGATGGCCTTCATTTTTCAATAGGTAACTTTACGTCCTAAATAAATTACGTCCTTAACCTATGTTATAAAATACACTTGGCATGTTCTATAGAAGAACGCATGGTTATCAGACACGAGCACCTCGATGCGATGGATATTTTTCCCAAACCAAAATACTTAGCCGTCAAAAGGCAATCGACCGAAACGGATACATAACCCACGGAGTACGGACACAATAGCAGCCAAACGCCCACCGATCGAAAATACCCCTTATTCGCGTTGCGGAGCAAGCGGGTCACCCTAGCGGGCCCCATTTACCCGAGGGCCCGGGCCCTATCCACACGGGGGCCCGGACCACGTCCACCCGAGGCTCCGGGGCCCGTCCACCCGGGGCTCCGGGGTCCGTTCACCAGGGGGCCCGAGCCCGATCCACCCGGGGTCCGGGCCCCGTCCACCCAGGGCTCGGGGTCCGTTCTGCCGGGGCCCGGGCCCCATCCACCCGGGGGCTCGGGCGTGGGCCCGTTCTCCTGGGGGCCCGGGCCCGTTCTCCCGGGGGCCCGGGCCCATCCATCGGGGGTCCCGAGCCCCATCCACCTGGGGGCCCGGACCCGTTCTCCCGGGGGTCCGGGCCCCGTCCACCCGGGGCTCGGGGCCCGTTCTCCCGGGGACCCGGACCCATCCACCGGGGGCCCGGACACCATCCATCGGGGGCCCGGGCCCCATCCACCCAGGGGGCCCGGGCCCGTTCTCCCGGGGGCCCGTGGTGTCCCAGCAGGTATTTCTCGAAGCGGGCTCGTCCGATTAGATTAGGACATCCCCCTCTCTTTCTCTTTCTTTCTCTCTCTCTCTCTCTCTCTCTCTCTCTCTCTCTCTCTCTCTCTCTCTCTCTCTCTCTCTCTCTCTCTTTCTCGAGCGGGCCCCTGACAGAAATTTCGGGGGGTCAGCTGACCCTCTGACCCCCCCTGGCTGCGCCACTGCTCAGGGGCCTCTTCTGACTAGTGTGGATAGAGGGCCCTCCCAGACCACCGGTTTCAGGGGCCTCCAGTGCCCAGTTATATGAACAGAAGGGCCTCACAGCCATTAGCCTCGGGGGCCTCTTCTGAATATGAGGGCCTCTCATACCATCAGTCTCAGGGGCCTCTTCTGCCTAGTGTGAATATAAGGGCTTCCCAGGCCATCAGTCTCAGGGGACTCTTCTGACTGGTGCCGGATTGAGGGACCTCCCAGACCGAAAGTTTTGGGGGTCTCCTGTGGCCAGTATGAATATAGAAGGGCCTCTCATTCCATCAGTCTCATGGGCCTCTTCTGCCTGGTGTGATTATAAGGGCCTCTCAGGTCATCAGTCTCAGGGGCCTCCTCTGACTACAGTGTAGATGGATAGGCCTCCCAGACCATCAGTCTCAGGGGCCTCTTCTGACTATTGAGGATAGAGGGGCCTCCTCTGACTAGTAAGGGTAGGGGGCCTCGGCTAGACCGCCAGTGTCAGGGGCCTATTCTGACTAGTGTGGATGGAGGGGCCTCCCAGACCACCAGTCTCATACCTCTGACTAGTGTGGATAGAGGGGCCTCCCAGACCGCCAGTGTCAGGGGCCTCCCCAGACCAGTGTGGATATTGGGGCCTCCTCAGATCCACTAGGGCCTCTCAGGCCATCAGTCTCAGGGGCTTCGACTGACAAGTATGAACAGAGGGCCTCCTTGGATCCATCACGGCCATTTGGAGTCCGTGCGTGGGGATTCGTGGAACTTATTTTTACCGAGTTTGTTTATTCTGGAAGGTGACGACGTCCTCTCAAATCGAAACGAGGGGCCTCGAGTAAAAAGTGGGTGGGCCAAAACACATGGTTGGCCCCCCACCTCGAAAAGTGGGTGGGCACTTGCCCACCTGCCCCCCCCCCCCTGTTCCTACGCCTATGCTACTCACGGAAAGTGGGCACTCCACCCAGGTGAAGATCGAGCGGCGGCAGCAGCGCCGGCATGTGCAGCGGCCAAAATGGGAAGCGTGGCAGCGGGGCCGGCACCACTGGCAGCGGGGCCGGCACCACTGGCAGCGGGGTCGGCACCACTGGCAGCGGGGCCGGCGCGACCGGCAGCGGGGCCGACGCCGAGTGCCGCCCGAAGTGGAACCTCGGCAAATCGGCGACCGAGTGCTCCTCGGAGCTGGGCGTCCCAGACGGACCGCCCGTGTCCGCCGCGCCACTCAGCTGGCTGGCCGAGTCGGCAGCAGCGCTGTCCAAGGCCACACTGTTTGGCGCCTGGCTGACCAGCATAGCGACCAAAGGGGGACCTCTCAGTCTCGACCGGCACCGAATCAGCGGCTACAGTAGCGGCCAGAGGCGGCCCCCGCCGCCAGCCACCATGTGGGCGGAGCATGCGGGCAGCGCTGTGACGTCACGAGCCGGAAGACCAATGGGCGACGGCTGGGCCGTCGGGCCGCAGCGGCTGCGTGTACCGATTGGACCTGCCTCTTGACTGTGGCTAGAAGCTAGAACCCAATTAGCCTCGTTCATGCGGAGTGGCTAACAGATCTAGTGGCGGAATCGGGAACTGGCGATTGTATGATATTCGTGGCCGGGCCGGCACGCGGCCAGTCACGTGGAGAATTCGCTCGGCGTAAGTGTGCGGCGTTTGCCAGCTTCTAATGTGTAGGAGGGGGGGGGGGGGGGTCGGTCAGACCCCCTTGCCGTTTGGCCCCTGATTGAGCTAGAGCTTCGCGGAAAAAAACGAGCGTGCTGCCCGTGACGAGAGGAAGCCGATGATACCCAATTTTAGGGTCCTAGGTTATTGGTTGATCTTCCAGCTCAGGTGAATGACCCAAAGTCGGGAAAATCGGGACCTGTTAGAAAGTCGTTAAGTGTGGCTGCTAAGGGTTTTTTTCGGGGTGCTGATCACGAATATCGTGTTAGTCTTGATCACAGATGATGTCTTTAAGCATTTAGACCGGGTCGGGTCAGGTCAGGTCAGGTCAAGCAGTAGGGGTCGTGACGGGTATTCGTAGTAGGTACGTGTCAACCGCCTCTGGCAGCTTCGTAACATGTTACAAAGGCACCAAAACTACTTCGTAAATGCTCAAATCATGGTGTGTCAAAAGTGGAAATAGCCGCCCGGCTTTAGTTCGCCAGCCTTGTCAATAGATGGCAGTACCACAATATAGGCAGCGGATCGTGCAATTGACGTCAAATTTTCGTTATCTGCTAAGAATTGAATGGCAGATCTTTACATGCAAGAATCAAGTAAATCGGTCCACAATTTTTCTAGCAACACAGATATGAAGTCAAACACCCTGCCAGAGCGGCGGCGCGCGGCCGGCGGCGGCCGTAGTACGCGCCGCCTGGGAGACTGGCGCGGCGCTGAACGGTTCCGACTTGGCACTGCACTAAAACCTGTTAACTGCTTGGAATAGTTATTATAGCAAAATTTTCATTCAAGTGAGGAATAACCAAGGGCAGGAAGTATGTATGCTTGTGTCCGTACTGTGTAAGCCACGAAACTGCATTAGCAGATACTCGCTAATATTAGATCCAGCCAAGTCCAAACGCATTCCAAGGGCTGTGTTTCTGATGGTTCAACAATGTTTATCGTTCGAGGGCGGATACAGTTTAAACAATACAAAAAATATTTTTGCACAGCTCTATTCCTTGAATAATTCTCTTCAACGCCTCATTCCTAGTTAAGCAAATTAGCCCACCCTGGTTGAATAAATAAGGCGATTTCGCCACAAGGTCGGGGAAAACCGACCGAAAACGGCCGCGCTCAACGTTAATTTGGGCATGCAGACTCTTAAAAACTCGCATTGGGCGGGTAGGGTTTCCCAGGTATTGGCTCCAAAACACCGTATTCGGCTCCCGAATACGTCCAAGTGACCCGCCTCGTTCCTAGTTAAGCTCTAATTAGATCAAGTGACTCATAAGGAGCAAAAAGACGACAAAAAGCATGAATTTCCCTATGGCGGCGGGCTGCCTGGTTGCCAGACGGCGCACCGGCTATTTCCACTTTTGACACACCATGAGTTTCTAAATTCGAATTCAGCTCCAAAAACTAGCTTAGAAACATGTATAGCTCGAAAAAGTGAACCGGGGTCACCAAAGGTCGCTTTTTACGCGAGTTATTCGCGAAAGACCATGGGGGTCCATCCGACCCCCCCCCCCCCCTCCTACACATGCGAGGGTTAAGAGAAAAGAACCGCTGGTGCGGGTATCGATCCACCGACCTTTCGCTTACCAGACCGAGACTAACCACTCGGCTACGACGACACATGATGGTAGCCACTAGGCGTATAAAATTGGAAACAGTCTCAACTCGAATCTAGCCTCAATGCATGCATTGTCGCGTCGGATGGCTATGACGTGGCACTAGAGATGTCGCCTGTTGGTCGGCCGATTCGTGTAATACACTTGGCGACTACGCCGCCCGGCCGGGGTGCCGCGCGGCGCCCGCGGCTTTCCCGTCGGTGGCCGACGGTCAATGTTTTCTCAGATTGCTCCCGCCGAGCCGCATCGCGTGACCGGCGCGCCGGCAAATGGTCCCGTAATGGACCATTTGACTGGGGGAGATTAACCTATGGGAACCAACCACCTGGTCGGTCGACACAACAGCAGCGCTAACTGTATGATACCATAGTAATCAGCAGAATGGTCGGTGGGGAGCGAACAGGCAGCATTCAGTCGGCCGAAAAAAATCAACCCGCGCCCTGGGCCCGTATTCAGGTCGACGGCGTAAGTACATATTTTTGCGTAAGTAGGTATAAATTTCGTATTCAGGTCGACATACTTAAGTATTAAATACTTGCGCCAAAGCCATTTACTTACGCCATTTGGTATACAGGTCGAACAGCGTAATTAAGTTTGGTATTCTGGTCAAAAACTTAAGTAAAACCTACGCCAGGTGGTATTCAGGTTGACATACTTACGTTAATGCGTAAATAAATAATCCAGAATTGGAGGATCAAAAGCATGCGATAGCATGCTTTTGCATCCGGAAATTCCCATTGGTGGGTCGCTGAAGAAAAGTTCGGCCAAGCCTGTTTGTCAGTATGTGAGTGAGTATGTGAGTGAGTATGTGAGTTTGTCCAAGCCTTTTTGGACCTGGAGTCAAAATGGGTGGACCGATCGGGACGAAAGTGGGACCGTTCGACTCGTCTCCGGCGAGGTAAACTTTTGGTACTGGCCTCGGTTCGCTCAGTGCTTCGTGGCACATGCTATTCCGCTTCAAAGTTTCGGTGACACGAAATTTTTTGTCAAGGCTAGGGTAAGGGCGGGTAAAAGGACGCAGGCGACAAGAGTATGCAGCAGCTGTTTCGGTTGCTTAGCAACGCCTCATCAGCGTCATCTCGAGTCCTAAAGACGCTGTCTCTCACGCGGCTTCGATGGTGGAAGGTGGGCGCGCTACGGGTTCACTTGTCTTTTTTAGAGGCTTAGACGTGTTTTTCACATCGCTTTTAGACTTTTTGGGGTGCAGGAAAAGGTGTGACCTTCCTCAGGGAGCGGCAATAGAATTTTCATTTTTTCCTATCAAGATACCACGGGGAATCTGGTGCGTGTGTCAAGTCCCAATTGTTTACGCGACGACTGTGGCGCCAGCTCTCAGCCCGCTTTGTGTCTACCGTATGTGTCGGCCATGAGTACGCATTGCCGTGGCGGACAAGAGTACGCAGTTTTCCGAGTGCGTGGTTGTGTTGCATTAATCAACTTAGTGCATCAGGCGCGCAACCCCTCAGCAGATTCACGGGATTGGCCAACAAGGTGGATGACACTCGGGGGGACGCCGAGCAGTTGGGGAAACCACGAAGAGCACCACTGTTTCTGGTAGACCAGGGGGCATTTGCACGACCACAGCGGGGCGCCTCGACTCTGTTAAGAGTGACCGTTTTAGTGGCTGCGGCAATAAAGATAACAATAGTTTAATTACTTGCATGAATGCATTGATTCCAGCGAGTAGGAATCATACACGTAGTGCGTACTCCACCCGCACGAAGTGCGTACTCTTGTACTGCCTATCGGGCAAGAGTACGCAAATGCAGGGTGTTAGAAAATTGCTTACGGTCACGCTTTAAATTGGACGTAGGCCGCTGTGGTCATGACAGTTTGTGGACAAATGATCAGGCTTTATCGGAGTATACTTATCGTAGCCGTAAACCAAAACCGAACGGCGTGAGACGACAAAATGCATTAGGTGCGTACTCTTGTACGGTCCTCCCCTACAGGTCAACCCGAGGTCACGGACAAAGCCACACTGGCGGGACACATCGGTAACACCTTGAACCAGTTTCCAGGGGGTCACCGTCTGCGAGGGGTGCAGGCTGCACGTGCTGGGGGCGGAAAACCGTTTTGACGTGAGGTCCTCTGGCTCAAAGAAATTTTGAGCTATCAACCTCAAAATCGGTTCAATGGTAGTCTCAGGCAAGGCCTCCAAAATAGTGCACATTTGGTTGAGCTAAACTCTGTGGTGCACGAGCTAGGTACGTGCAAGCCGATTGCACCCCTTCGTGCGTTGCCACGCCTGCAGGGTAAACGGCCGCTCTAACTGGTTCAAAACTTGCAGGTCATAAGAAGAATACATTGAGTCGTAACATTCCGGCGAGATAATATCCCAGGGGTGCAAGCTGCGCGTGCGGGGGGCGGATAACGGTTTTGACTAGGGATCCTCTGATCCCGGGAAACGTCGATCTAGCGACACAAAAGTCGGTACACTGATAGAATTAGACACACGCTACATGATGTTATGAAAATGACTGCACTGGGGTGCCTGGGACATGAACTATGCACGTGCAGTTAATTCATACCATACTGTAGGAAGATATCCGCACCAATCTCACGTGCTTCGAAGCATTTTTGGGATGTTTCGTTTGGTTTCAGGTTCAGTCCAAGCTCAGTCTGGGTTTCGGTCAAGGCCCTATATGGTTTCGGTGGTTTGGCCCGGTGTGTGCCCTCAGTACCGTTCCTCCAATTCTGGCCCAAGGCAACGCAAGAGCGCTGCCGGCATCTAGTCTACCTACGGTTTTTGCCTATTGGCTATGAATGAAAGCTTAATTTCTTTATTTGCTGTTACCATCGACAATGCTTGAATTCCCCAGTGACAAAAATGTTTCATTGTAAGCCGTCGATTGACGCAGGATGGTGAAATTTTAACGACTCGTGGGTCACGTAATTCAACAGGTCGTATTAAATTTTGGGCACGATGCGGCTGGGGGTGCGCCCGTGGCGCGTGCTCATGTGCGCCATAGGGTTAGCATTAGAATCGGCAAAAACAGGCTATTGCTCGGGAACGGTGAGGGCTACGGGGGTTAAAT